TCACAGCGAAAGTACTAGTGCCCTGAAGAATGCAGTAAATGGCTAAGGAAACACTGAGTAACACTTAGTCCGCTATACGGATGAGAGAAATACAAGTAGTGACTCCGCGGTGCCATGCACAGCTCACACAGTCAGACTGAAGCTGCTGCCATATGGCAGCCTCGAGCAATGTTGCCACATAACACGCGCAGTGTTGCCACGTGATTATATATAGCAATGCTACAGCACAGTAGCTTATAGGACAGAGTTGCTACTCGCACAGTAGCTTATGTACAGGGTTGCTACTCGGCACAGTAGCTTAGATACATAACCTACAAACAAATACTTAAGTGCGGAGCTGAGATCATCGAGTACTTGATATTGTAGAAGACGGTAGGTAGTCACTGTGCCGTAGGTTTCAGGATAGGTAATCCTGTGGTCACTTCCAGAGTGAACTCAATCTCCTCGAACTGGAGCTGACAAAGAAGACTTTGAGGAGGACGAACAACCAGGATATGGAGAAGGAACCCGAGTGGTAACTAAGACGAGTCATACCTGTGTTTCGTCCCCTAGATGGCGTCTGCTCGTGGTGCTGGGTAGGTAGACTAGACAATAGATGGCGTGGTTCAGAAAAAGGTAGGTAGATCATGACAATTGGTGGCGGGGTTCGTAACAATACACATATATTACTTCTTAAAGGGACAACTTGTTAAACACCCTTCGATACAACTATTTATTAATTCACTCAATGACATGGACACATTAATATCACTAATATATCAAGGTAATGACACATTATGTTTTACGTTACTCGACTGACCTCGGACACACTGAATGAATACACTCTCACAGTAGGTAACTCACCCCTAGGAATCGTTCTGACAAGACCTGGTGTAATTCTGACATAGGCCCAGTGGATGCTTACTGGGCTGCTCCCCGGGGAGGCTTCTGCTTAGCTGGGGTCTGTCGGAGGTCCCCTCCCGACCTGGGAGAGGAAGCGTGACTCTGAGAATCTCCAGGTAATATTCGAATGGCAACAGGATCAGAATGATAATCAGAATGGAAGGCCGTGGACGGGACTTAGGCCTATATAGGGTGAAGCCCAGCTTCTGACCTCAACCAGTGTATAAACTGGTGCGATCTGGATACCTGTGTGCAGGTGTGTCCTGCAGGTGTCTTGGTTGGAGTAAGTTGTGGGTCACCCGGCTAACTCACGTCATTAACAGGCGAGGTCAAGTCCCCTGGGTCGACCTGAGGGTGTCAAACCCGGAAATGTGGTGACCACAAGATTGCATTCTTCTTGCTGTTATTGTGACATATTCTGAAACATAGCTTTGGTCTGACAATCAATCATTACAATCCAAATAGATGGACCAATCCTTAAGGGTAACTCAGAATCAGAGAATTTTCTTGAAACAGTTGAGGACTGTTTCCTAAGTCAACATATAGCTGAATCCACCCGGGGTAATAATATACTAGATTTAATTCTGTCAAACAGAAAAACTCATGTGATATCAAGCTAGGAAGAACTAGCCAAACCAATCACAAAAGTGAGATTAGTGAACTTAATGTCCAGTTACAGAAAAAATTCCATTAAAAGTCCACTACAGAAAAGGCAAACTTGATAGGTTGAAAAAGCAGACTCAGAAGGGGTATTACGTTTGGGGTGAATTACATGACCTCACGACCTCACGGGCAGCAACCCCACTTACCTGTTGATCTTATATAAGCTTTGGTAGATTCCCTTAACTTTGCATATATATAAATAGGGTTAAATTTTAAACCCAAAATAGTCTTTTCTCCATTTAATGGTAAAACTATATTTGTCACATCTATTGTAGATGCACCTAAACTAACACTGTAAGCTGTGAGTGTTAGAGACAGGACACAACCAGCTGAGTTAGATCCACATTAGGAATTCTCGTGAGTTAGTCAAGACTGGTGCTGCCTGTGAGGCAGCTCTGGGAAAGAGGAGGCTAACACTACATTCTCACGGTCGGCTTACTGATAGAGGAATTTCCCCTCACGTGAACAGCATATGGCACCTCACTGCAGGAATTTTACAGTCGGGTGATTGGATTATATAAACTAAATGTATTAACCCAACTTTGTATAATTGTTATTGCCATGAGACAATGGCTAATACAACCTGACAACGATCTCCTCATAAAATATGACCTTTGAGTGTGACCTGACCACAAAGGCATAATATGCCATACAGAAAACTCAGATCAATTAACGATGACGAAATGGATAGATAATTATTTAAAGAATATTATTGGGCAAAGGAAGGCTATGGGTAGGAGAATAAATCTATTATGTACCAACATTTTATACCATATACAGTATATATATTATTGCATGTGTGTGTGTGTGTAACCGGTAAAAAAGAATTTATTCTCATTTGACTTGGGGGTTTATTATTATGAGATGGCAATGCAGTGGAGCGCCCTTGGGAAAAAACCGAATAACTAAACACATAAAATTACTAAAAAATAATAATTCTCATGCATTAGCGGAAGGATAGCACCTGTGATTGGGGTGAATAGAGACGCACTGTAAAATTTATACACTTCTATTCTCCAACACTACAGTACACAACAATAAAAAAATGGTACAACAACATATGCATCCTTAGGCTTAAAACACTACACTGGGGAGCAAAAAGTTATACATGATATTGAAATTATTAGAAACTTAGAAAATGCATTAACAACAATAAATTCAAAGTATTAAAATGTTGCTTGCATGAACAGGCCTTAAGGGCTTTCAACAAAATAATATCAATCACTGAGGAAATGGTTTAGAAATAAAGAAATTATAAACTCCACCATGAATAGGCCTTGGGCACTCAACAAAATTATATCAATCACTGAAAATGGTATAGAAAATATGAAATTATTAACTCCACCATGAATAGGCCTTA